GGTCGCAGCAGTGTCAGTGGAGGCAAACGGCCACGGAGTAGAGCACCAGCTCCACTGCAGCCTACCACCACGGCCAGTAGTGGTGCCGGTGTGCACGGAGGAAGCAGCAGTCAGCCAGTGAGGAGTATCGGGGGCAAAGTTTCCTACTCGGCGGTGTGGCATTTTTTTTGTCAAGCCGCCCGAGGAAGTAAACGTAGCCGTATGTCGACTATGTGGCCAGAAAGTCAAGCGTGGCCAGGGGGCCCATGTTGGGACTACAGCGTTGCGTCAGCATATGCAGCGTCGCCCATTTGGTGGCCTGGGAAAACCGTGATAAAGATACGGCGGTTCTGCCTGCCCCAGCCCCCGCTCCATCACCCGCTCCGTTACTTGCTCCGTCACCCGACGTCAATCGCCCTCTATCAGCCAGTCAAGGCTCCAACACCTCTGCTGAGGGGAGTTGTCGCTCGTTGGCATCTTCCGCTCGTTCAGATGCTCCTTCTCCTCCTGCTACTCCTCTTCACGGATTCCGTCAGCAGTCTTTCTTGGAATCCGTTTCCAAGAGACAACAGTTTGCGAGCACGCACCCGACGGTGCAAAAGCTGAACGTCCTCCTGTCCAAGTTGCTGGTGCTGCAGTCCCTCCCTTTCCAAGTGGTGGACTCAGCACCTTTCCGAGAAATGATGGCTTGTGCCGCGCCGCGGTGGAGAGTGCCAAGCCGTCATTTCTTCGCCAAAAAGGCAGTGCCAGCCCTGCATTCACATGTAGAAGAGATGGTGGGCCAGTCTTTGAGCATGTCGGTCTCTGCCAAGTGTGCACGGCAGCGCGACGACGTGTGGAGCTGTAACTACGGTCAGGGACAGTACATGTCATTTACGGCCCACTGGGTGAACGTGGTGCCGTCACAGCCGCACCAGCAACTTGGACAGGTCACGCCGCTTTTGCCTCCACGTTTGCACGTCCTTGGTCCACAAAAGATGTCCGCCTCTACCACCTCTCTTCTTCCCCGTGTCCTCAGCCGCCACCCCCCGTGCCAAGTCCCATTACCCGACCGGCATATCACATGTGCAGGGCGCAACGGTGTCACGCTGTGCTGCACCTGGTATGCCTTGGCGAACGTAGTCACACAGGGGAGGAACTTCTGAGTGTAATGAACAGAGAAATCGACAGATGGCTGTCTCCGCGCGCAAACTGAAAATCGGAACCATGTTGACCGACAACGGAAAGAACATGGTGTCTGCTCTGCGTCAAGGAAGGTTGTGCCATGCGCCATGCATGGCTCACGTGTTCAATCTGGTTGTCAAGCGGTTCCTAAAATCCACCATCCCACTGCAAGACATCCTTAAAATGTCACGTAAACTTTGCATGCATTTCAGCCATTCCTACACCGCAAAGCACACCCTCCTTGAGCTGCAGCGGCAGAACGGAATTCCACAGCATCGCCTGATCTGCGACGTTGCAACAAGGTGGAATTCAACCCTACACATGTTAGACCGCCTTTACGAACAGCGAAAGGCCATCACCGATTTCCTGATGTTACAAGCGGATAAAGGTACTCCCCTGTGTAACTTCGATGTCAGCCATTGGCAGCTCATGCGTGACACCTGCCGCTTGCTCAGGCCCTTTGAGGAGGCCCACGCTATTCGTGAGTCGGCAGGACTATGGGATGAACGACGTCATTCCTCTGTTGCACGTCCTGGAACAAATGCTGTTAACAATGGCTGGTCAGGGTGCGGTAGACGTGGCGCACAGATCTCAACGCCACATGACCCCTGTGGGGGCAGGACAGGAAGAAGAGGAGGAGGGAGGTAGAGGAGGACATTTGTGCTCAGGAATTATTGAGTGAAATGGGTGGTTTTTCCACTCAGCGGACAGGAGTGGAGGAGCAGGAGCATCTGGTAGAGGAGGAGGAGGAGGAGACAGAGGACCCAGACGCACGCACCGTGGCAGTATGCTGTGGAGATGGAGGCAGGGAGTCCCTCGCATTCCTTGGCACAAATGGCCCATAGCATGCTCGGTTGCTTGCGTAGCGACAGCCGAATAATAACCATCAGACAGAGGGATGACTTTTGGCTGTCCACCTTGTTGGACCCTCGCTACCGTTCAAAAATGGTGGCCTTTTTCACACCTGCTGAGAGGGAGGCCAAAATAACGTACTATAAAAACCACCTATGTAGTCAGTTGGTCTCTGCCTTTGTGCGCCAACGTCCATCCTCAGACACTGTGGGCCCTGTGCGCTCGCGTTCCGCTGCCATGGCAGCAGGGGAGGGGTGGGGTGGTAGGAGCAGTCAGCAGCTCCACCAGCAGCGGCTGCCTCAGTCTGCAGTCGATGATGAGTAGCTTTCTTCACCAGCGCAGTGAGGAAACTACTAACCAGCCGCAGCAGCAGCAGCAGCATCAGGTGGACCTGGAGCAGGACCTCAAACAACAGGCTTGGGCCTACTTGGACAGCACCCTGCCAACCGAGGTAGACAATCCCCTTGACTACTGGGCAACGAAACTTGACCTTTGGCCCCAACTAGCTGAATTTGCCCTTGAAAGGCTGTCATGCCCGGCCAGTAGCGTGGCATCGGAGCGCGTGTTTAGTGCGGCAGGAGGTATTGTAACTCCGCGGAGGACACGACTGTCCACCCAAAGTGTGGAGAGACTCACGTTTGTGAAAATGAATCAGGCGTGGATTAGTCTGGATTTCAAACCACCAGTTCCTGACACAACTGACTAAATCCGCCATGAATCATGCCCCTGCCATGTGCCACTTTCAGGTCTCCTCACACACTGGTGTGTGTTCCATTTTTTGTCATAGGGTGCTGGCAGATTACGGGCCTCCCATAGCTGCTGCCAGGCCCCTAATCTGCCATGGGCCCCTGTACCGCCTCCTCATGCTGCTGCCAGGTCCAGAGTCTCTCATGGGTCCCTGTACGGCCTCCCATTGCTGCTGTCTCCATCGCCACACTCTGCCATGTGCCACTTTCAGGTCTCCTCACACTGCTGGTGTGTTCCATTTTTTGTCATAGGGTGCTGGCAGATTACGGGCCTCCCATAGCTGCTGCCAGGCCCCTAATCTGCCATGGGCCCCTACCGCCTCCTCATGCTGCTGCCAGGTCCAGAGTCTCTCATGGGGTCCCTGTACGGCCTCCCATTGCTGCTGTCTCCATCGCCCACACTCTGCCATGTGCCACTTTCAGGTCTCCTCACACTGCTGGTGTGTGTTCCATTTTTTGTCACAGGGTGCTGGCAGATTACGGGCCTCCCATAGCTGCTGCCAGGCCCCTAATCTGCCATGGGCCCCTATACCGCCTCCTCATGCTGCTGCCAGGTCCAGAGTCTCTCATGGGTCCCCTGTACGGCCTCCCATTGCTGCTGTCTCCATCGCCACACTCTGCCATGTGCCACTTTCAGGTCTCCTCACACTGCTGGTGTGTTCCATTTTTTGTCATAGGGTGCTGGCAGATTACGGGCCTCCCATAGCTGCTGCCAGGCCCCTAATCTGCCATGGGCCCCTATACCGCCTCCTCATGCTGCTGCCAGGTCCAGAGTCTCTCATGGGTCCCTGTACGGCCTCCCATTGCTGCTGTCTCCATCGCCCACACTCTGCCATGTGCCACTTTCAGGTCTCCTCACACTGCTGGTGTGTTCCATTTTTTGTCATAGGGTGCTGGCAGATTACGGGCCTCCCATAGCTGCTGCCAGGCCCCTAATCTGCCATGGGCCCCTGTACCGCCTCCTCATGCTGCTGCCAGGTCCAGAGTCTCTCATGGGTCCCTGTACGGCCTCCCATTGCTGCTGCTGTCTCCATCGCCACACTCGCCATGTGCCACTTTCAGGTCTCCTCACACTGCGCTGGTGTGTTCAATTTTTTGTCATAGGGTGCTGGCAGATTACGGGCCTCCCATAGCTGCTGCCAGGCCCCTAATCTGCCATGGGCCCCCTGTACCGCCTCCTCATGCTGCTGCCAGTCCAGAGTGCTCATGGGTCCCTGTACGGCCCTCCCATTGCTGTCTCCATCGCCACACACTCTGCCATGTGCCACTTTCAGGTCTCCTCACTCACACTGCTGGTGTGTTCCAATTTTTTGACATAGGGTGCTGGCAGATTACGGGCCTCCCATAGCTGCTGCCAGGCCCCTAATCTGCCATGGGCCCCTATACCGCCTCCTCATGCTGCTGCCAGGTCCAGAGTCTCTCATGGGTCCCTGTACGGCCTCCCATTGCTGCTGTCTCCATCGCCACACTCTGCCATGTGCCACTTTCAGGTCTCCTCACACACTGCTGGTGTGTTCAATTTTTTGTCATAGGGTGCTGGCAGATTACGGGCCTCCCATAGCTGCTGCCAGGCCCCTAATCTGCCATGGGCCCCTGTATACCGCCTCCTCATGCTGCTGCCAAGTCCAGAGTCTCTCATGGGTCCCTGTACGGCCTCCCATTGCTGCTGTCTCCATCGCCACACACTCTGCCATGTGCCACTTTCAGGTCTCCTCACACACTGCTGGTGTGTTCAATTTTTTGTCATAGGGTGCTGGCAGATTACGGGCCTCCCATAGCTGCTGCCAGGCCCCTAATCTCTGCCATGGGCCCCTGTACCGCCTCCTCATGCTGCTGCCAAGTCCAGAGTCTCTCATGGGTCCCTGTACGGCCTCTCCCATTGCTGCTGTCTCCATCGCCACACACACTTCTGCCATGTGCCACTTTCAGGTCTCCTCACACTGCTGGTGTGTTCCAATTTTTTGACATAGGGTGCTGGCAGATTACGGGCCTCCCATAGCTGCTGCCAGGCCCCTAATCTGCCATGGGCCCCTATATACCGCCTCCTCATGCTGCTGCCAGGTCCAGAGTCTCTCATGGGTCCCTGTACGGCCTCCCATTGCTGCTGTCTCCATCGCCACACTCTGCCATGTGCCACTTTCAGGTCTCCTCACACACTGCTGGTGTGTTCAATTTTTTGTCATAGGGTGCTGGCAGATTACGGGCCTCCCATAGCTGCTGCCAGGCCCCTAATCTGCCATGGGCCCCTATACCGCCTCCTCATGCTGCTGCCAGGTCCAGAGTCTCTCATGGGTCCCTGTACGGCCTCCCATTGCTGCTGTCTCCATCGCCACACTCTGCCATGTGCCACTTTCAGGTCTCCTCACACTGCTGGTGTGTTCCATTTTTTGTCATAGGGTGCTGGCAGATTACGGGCCTCCCATAGCTGCTGCCAGGCCCCTAATCTGCCATGGGCCCCCTGTACCGCCTCCTCATGCTGCTGCCAGGTCCAGAGTCTCTCATGGGTCCCTGTACGGCCTCCCATTGCTGCTGTCTCCATCGCCACACTCTGCCATGTGCCACTTTTCAGGTCTCCTCACACACTGCTGGTGTGTTCAATTTTTTGACATAGGGTGCTGGCAGATTACGGGCCTCCCATAGCTGCTGCCAGGCCCCTAATCTGCCATGGGCCCCTGTACCGCCTCCTCATGCTGCTGCCCAGTCCAGAGTCTCTCATGGGTCCCTGTACGGCCTCCCATTGCTGTGTCTCCATCGCCACACTCTGCCATGTGCCACTTTCAGGTCTCCTCACACTGCTGGTGTGTTGAATTTTTTGACATAGGGTGCTGGCAGATTACGGGCCTCCCATAGCTGCTGCCAGGCCCCTAATCTGCCATGGGCCCCTATACCGCCTCCTCATGCTGCTGCCAGGTCCAGAGTCTCTCATGGGTCCCTGTACGGCCTCCCATTGCTGCTGTCTCCATCGCCACACTCTGCCATGTGCCACTTTCAGGTCTCCTCACACTGCTGGTGTGTTCAATTTTTTGACATAGGGTGCTGGCAGATTACGGGCCTCCCATAGCTGCTGCCAGGCCCCTAATCTGCCATGGGCCCCCTGTACCGCGCCGCCTCCATGCTGCTGCTCCCAGGTCCCAGTGTCTCATGCCATGTGCCACTTTCAGGTCTCCTCACACTGCTGGTGTGTTCAATTTTTTGACATAGGGTGCTGGCAGATTACGGGCCTCCCATAGCTGCTGCTGCCAGGCCCCTAATCTGCCATGGGCCCCTATACCGCCTCCTCATGCTGCTGCCAAGTCCAGAGTCTCTCATGGGTCCCTGTACGGCCTCCCATTGCTGCTGTCTCCATCGCCACACTCTGCCATGTGCCACTTTCAGGTCTCCTCACACACTGCTGGTGTGTTCCATTTTTTGTCATAGGGTGCTGGCAGATTACGGGCCTCCCATAGCTGCTGCCAGGCCCCTAATCTGCCATGGGCCCCTATACCTACCGCCTCCTCATGCTGCTGCCAGGTCCAGAGTCTCTCATGGGTCCCTGTACGGCCTCCCATTGCTGCTGTCTCCATCGCCACACTCTGCCATGTGCCACTTTCAGGTCTCCTCACACACTGCTGTGTGTGTTCAATTTTTTGACATAGGGTGCTGGCAGATTACGGGGCCTCCCATTGCTGCTGCCAGGCCCCTAATCTGCCATGGGCCCCCGTACCGACTCCTCATGCTGCTGTGACGTTGCAACAAGGTGGAATTCAACCCTCCCATGTATGCTGCTGTCCTTTACGAACAGCCACAAAGGCCATGTGCCACTTTCAGGTCTCCTCACACTGCTAAAAGGTGTGCCTGACATAGGTGTCTGGCAGATTACGGGCCTCCCATAGCTGCTGCCAGGCCCCTAATCTGCCATGGCCCCTGTACCGCCTCCTCATAGCTGTGAGTCCATTCACAGCCCTCCCATTTGCTGTCTCCATGCCATACTCTGCCATTGCCACTGTCAGGTCTCCTCACATGCTGTACTCCCTGTTCCTTAGATGTCAGCCAGGGTGCTGGCAGCTCATGGGTGACACCTGCATAGCTTGCTCAGGCCCTTTGAGGAGGCCACGCTATTCCAGTCGGCAGGACTATGGGGATGAACGACGTCATTCCTCTGTTGCACGTCCTGGAACAAATCTGTTAACAATGGCTGATTCAATGGCTGGTCAGGGTGCGGTAGACGTGGCGCACAGATCTCAACGCCACATGACCCCTGTGGGGGCAGGACAGGAAGAAGAGGAGGAGGGGTAGAGGAGGACACATTGGTGCTCAGGAATTATTGAGTGAAATGGGTGGTTTTTTCCACTCAGCGGACAGGAGTGGAGGAGCAGGAGCATCTGGTAGAGGAGGAGGAAGGAGGAGGACAGAGCCACCCAGACGCACCGTGGCAGTATGCTGTGGAGATGGAGGCAGGGAGTCCCTCGCATTCCTTGGCACAAATGGCCCATAGCATGCTCGCTTGCTTGCGTACCGACAGCCGAATAATAACCATCAGACAGAGGGATGACTTTTGGCTGTCCACCTTGTTGGACCCCCTCGCTACCGTTCAAAAATGGTGGCCTTTTTCACACCTGCTGAGAGGGAGGCCAAAATAACGTACTATAAAAACCACCTATGTAGTCAGCTGGTCTCTGCCCTGTTTCTGCGCCAACGTCCATCCTCAGACACTGTGGCCCTCCCCTGTGCGCTCTGCCTCCTCACTCCTCATTCCGCTGCCATGGCAGCAGGGGAGGGGTGGGGTGGTAGGAGCAGTGTGCCACTTTCAGCTCCCTCACCAGCAGCGGCTGCCATTTTCAGTCTGCAGGGTGCTGCATGATTATGGGCCTCCCATAGCTTCTTCACCAGCGCAGTGAGGAAACTACTAACCAGCCCCTCAGCTGCAGCAGCAGCAGCAGCATCAGGTGGTCCCTGTAGCAGGACCTCAAACAACACTGCTTAGGCCTACTTGGACAGCACCCTGCCAACCGAGGTAGACAATCCCCTTGACTACTGGGCAACGAAACTTGACCTTTGGCCCCAACTAGCTGAATTTGCCCTTGAAAGGCTGTCATGCCCGGCCAGTAGCGTGGCATCGGAGCGCGTGTTTAGTGCGGCAGGGTATTGCAACTCCGCGGAGGACACGACTGTCCACCCAAAGTGTGGAGAGACTCACGTTTGTGAAAATGAATCAGGCGTGGATTAGTCTGGATTTCAAACCACCAGTTCCTGACACAACTGACTAAATCCGCCATGAATCATGCCCCAGTGTCTCTCATGCCATGTGCCACTTTCAGGTCTCCTCACACTGCTGGTGTGTTCCATTTTTTGTCATAGGGTGCTGGCAGATTACGGGCCTCCCATAGCTGCTGCCAGGCCCCTAATCTGCCATGGGCCCCTATACCGCCTCCTCATCATGCTGCTGCCAAGTCCAGAGTCTCTCATGGGTCCCTGTACGGCCTCTCCCATTGCTGCTGTCTCCATCGCCACACTCTGCCATGTGCCACTTTCAGGTCTCCTCACACTGCTGGTGTGTTCCATTTTTTGTCATAGGGTGCTGGCAGATTACGGGCCTCCCATAGCTGCTGCCAGGCCCCTAATCTGCCATGGGCCCCTATACCGCCTCCTCATGCTGCTGCCAGGTCCAGAGTCTCTCATGGGTCCCTGTACGGCCTCCCATTGCTGCTGTCTCCATCGCCACACTCTGCCATGTGCCACTTTCAGGTCTCCTCACACTGCTGGTGTGTTCCATTTTTTGTCATAGGGTGCTGGCAGATTACGGGCCTCCCATAGCTGCTGCCAGGCCCCTAATCTGCCATGGGCCCCCGTACCGACTCCTCATGCTGCTGCCAGGCCCGTAATCTGTCATGGGCCCCTGTTGTCGCTTGTTGGCATATTCCGCTCGTTCAGATGCTCCTTCTCCTGCTACTCCTCTTCACGGATTCCGTCAGCAGTCTTTCTTGGAATCCGTTTCCAAGAGACAACAGTTTGCGAGCACGCACCCGACGGTGCAGAAAGCTGAACGTCCTCCTGTCCAAGTTGCTGCTGCCAGGCTCGTAATCTGTCATGCGCCCCTGTACCGCCTCCTCATGCTGCTGCCAGGTCCAGAGTGTGTCATGGGCCCCCGTACCGACTCCTCATGCTGCTGCCAGGCCCGTAATCTGTCATGGGCCCCTGTACCGCCTCCCCATGCTGCTGCTGCCAGGTCCAGAGTGTGTCATGGGTCCCTGTACGGCCTCCCATTGCTGCTGCCAGGCCCGTAATCTGCCATGGCCCCCGTACCAACTCCTCATGCTGCTGCCAGGCCCGTAATCTGTCATGGGCCCCTGTACCGCCTCCTCATGCTGCTGCTGCCAGGTCCAGAGTGTGTCATGGGTCCCTGTACGGCCTCCCATTGCTGCTGTCTCCATCGCCACACTCTGCCATGTGCCACTTTCAGGTCTCCTCACACTGCTGGTGGTTTCCATTTTTGTCATAGGGTGCTGTATGGCCTCCCATTGCTGCTGCCTCCACCGCCACACTGTGGCTCCACACTCTGGTTTTGGCCCCGTGACTGCCCAAATGAGTGAAGTGTGCGGTGATTCTAAGATCGACGGCACTCATCTGCATGTCATACTGACTGTCAGTATTATTTCTCTTCCCCAGCAGACTCCAAGGGCATTTAAATTAAAGGTACAGTGTTCTGCACTAATATAAAGGCTCTCTGAAGCCTAGAAACACCCTTTTATAAGTTAAATTCGCAGCGAATATATTCGACTCGAATCGAAATTTTTCCACGAATTCGCCGAATCAGTCGAATCGAATTTTTGAATACTTCGCTCATCTCTAATCACAATATTTGCATAGCCATTTTTTAAATGCAAATTTTTATGAAAAAAATATGCTTTAAGGAACTTTGCAAACACAATATAATACACATTTTTTTGTAAATATAAAATATGATGTTATGCCAAGTGAAAAGATATCTAACATGTCACACTTGAAATATTGCATATGCCCGCGGAACTGATGTCGTTCCTTCCCCTGTGTGATGTCAGAAACCGTAAGCGACAAGGATTTGGTCCCTTCCAGTCTCGGTCTCATGTAAACAAGCCATTACCAGCTTGTAAAAGCATCTGGTCAGTTGATCTTGGTTTGATTTGGTGTTCTGGAGGCCAGAGGAGAGCTATGGGGTCAACAAGTCCCCAGATCTCTCCATAAACAGGACCTGTCATGCCCCATGCCATCACAAGAGATGTTGTTCTTCTCTTGTGATAGCAATAAAAGTGATAAAAAAAAAAGTTACAGTGTATTTAAAAAAAAAAAATTCCTGTAAAAAAATAAATAAAACGACCCCGTTCCCGCGTGCTCACGTACAAATGCGAACCTGGGCATCGGTCCCCCATGCATATGTAAACGGAAATCATGCGAGGTATCGTCTCAAACATCAGAGTGGGAGGAATAATTCTATCACCAGACCTCCTGTGTAACTTTTAACTGGTAACTTGTAAAGGCTTTTAAAGTGTCACCTATGGGGATTTTTAGGCACCGTAGTTTGCCGCCGTTCCACGGGTGTATGCGATTTTAAAGCATGGCATGTTTGGTACCTATTTACTTGCAGTAATATTGTCTTTTATATTTTTTTTTCCAAAAATTGGGTATTATATTGTATATTTGTCCATTAAAATTCATTAAGGTGTACTTTTTCCAAAACATTTGTGTTTGAAAAAACGCTGCACAAATATCATATGACATAAAAAAAATTGCAACACCTACCATTGGCAGGGTGGGGGAGTAGTCATATTATTTGAATAAAGAGCCAGTTTACTGTGCTTCAGACTTTACTGTCCTTCAGACTTTCAGTGAGAATAAACATGGCCTCAGGGCTGGTGGTCAGTAGGAAGAGGAGGAGTAGTGCCCCATCCTTGGTATTTGTAGAAGGAATAGTACACCAGCATTGATATCAATGGAAGAAATGATGCCCCAAGGGCCAGATCAGGGGCGGACTGACAACTCATGGGGCCCCCGTGCAACATGGGCGTGTCTTCGCCCACACTCAAAATACACCCAAAAAAGCCTATGAAAAAGCCTATGAAAGGTACCAGGGGCATCTCATAGGGCCCCCTACTGACCCCGGGCTCTCGGGCAGCGCCCTAGTGCCCAAATGGTCAGTCCGCCCTTGGGCCAGATAAAAGCTAGCATCCAGCCCTTGGACTGCAGTTTGAAGACCTCTGCTCTCCACTTAAAAAATTATATATATATATATATATATATATATATATATATATATATATATATATATATATAGAGCACTACCCTTGTAAATGGCGCTGGATTTGATTGGGTCCCCGAAGCCCTGCACAGCCAGGCAACATGCATTTTTCACACTTGTACTTTTGGACAGAGCTGGTTTTGGTTGTTTTTTTTTTTTTATTGAGGGGCTAACAACTTTGATGGGGTCTAGGGTTATATGGGATGCCAAAGGAACTGCAGAACTTGTGGACAAACTTCTTAGCAACTATGTACAAAAAAGGGTGAACTGGCAAAAAAAAAAGTAAGGCAATATCCCTTTCTGGTGTACCTCCCCAGATCCCGTATGAATCCTTCTCTTCACTCAGCTGAGCAAGGGCATCCCAAGAGCTTGCAGTTAAGCATTCCCAGGTGAAGACCAGTTGGGTATTGCGCCTGACCACCCTCTCCCCTTATGTGGCCTGGGGGGGTGTAGGAGTACTCACACTATCCTGTCCTGTCAGCATGGTGGATTGGTAGCTGCTTTCAGGCATTTCGCTAGGCTGGCTCCTTCCCTGCTGATCAGGATGTCCTCCCCAGGAGACTTTAGGCAGTGGAGATCCTCCCATCCATCAACCAGCCTGTAGGTAGGCTCTCCTCTCTGGGCTCCCTCCCAGGCTCCACACTCCAGCCTACTCTCAATCCATCTTCCACCCGACTCCCCTCTCTCCCTAGGTTCTGTCATATTTGAAGGTTGCCCTGGTCACCATGTCCAGCCTCCTGTCAAGGGATTGGCCAAGGTTCCTCAAACATGCAGATGTGGACTTCCTCCCCTGTTCCA